TTTGTTCCAGGCCTCTCTCCTTCACATAATCTCTTCTTATAAGGACACCAATTGTGTTGGCATAGGGCCCATTCTAATGACCTCATTTTAACTTTGTTACCTCTTTAAAGGCCTGATCTCCAAGTACAGTGAGGTGCTGAGGGTCAGGACTTTTTGGATTTCAGCAATGGAGTAGTGGGCACAATTGAATCCATAGCAAGGCTCATCTATCATTGCCCTCGTTCATCCCAAATGCTTTTACAGTCAGCCCTGCAAGCATGTCCTAGAGCACATCCTGTAATCCAGCTTTAAACCCCAGATCTGCCATTCATTTGTTGAGGAACTTTAAAGTTCACTTTCCTAATCTCAGTTTCCTCACTGTTACAGTGACAATTGTGCCCCCTACCAAAATCATAAAGATCAAACTAGTTAATATGCATAAAACAGTATCTGGCATTGGTAAATGCTGTTCAAGTGTTTGCTGTTCAATTACATATTAACACCTGATAAACTCCTTCATCAGGGGAGAATAGGTGGTCACACATCTCTTCTTCTGAGAAGTCCTCTCTGACATCACATTTCATGTTGTGTTCCCACAGGACCACTGTAGCATTTGTATGTGGATTAGTGGTTGCCTCTCCTACATACTTGTGATGGCTTCAAACCACAGAACTCTCAGATGAACTCAGTCTCTGGAGACAGACAGCCTTAGTCTATACCCGTCACCAAGTACTAGTCATGTTTATGTTTTTTTATCTAGTCTTTCTAATCCTTGATTTCTTCTATAAAATGGATATAATAGTAATACTTCATCACACATTGTCAATAATAATGTTAGACATCTATTCAAGAATAAGAATCAGTGGTCATTAGCTATTACTATTTTTGTAAACTTGTCATTTAAAAAATGTGTCTAGCAGTCCTCCAAGTGCTCAATGTGTATGCAATAATGTTTAATTGGAGTGTGATTGAAAGAACTTGAATAGAATCAAAACAGATTGAAGCCAGACTGGTGAAGTCTGGAAGCAGTTCAAGGAAAAAAAAACAAAACATGACGAGGACCTAGACCAAGACAACAGAAGCAAGGATATAGAGAGAGAGGACAGAACTGCCATAAAACTTTCAAGATTGAACCTGAGAGAGAGACAGAGTTAAATTCTTGCCAAAATATTGACCTGGGAAATCAAGCCGGTATATCTAAAATTCAGTACCATGATAATACCCGTATGAATAGAACATTTAAAAATCAAAATACTTTCCTTCATAGGAAAAGACATAAGAGACATCACATAAAATCCATTCTCTCTAATCATTAGGCATCAAGGAAAATGTGAACAGAGTTCCTTACAATTGAACAGCAGAGGGTGAATAAGGAGGAACAAACACACAAGGCTTCTGTTAATAATAAACAGTATCACATAGAAAATAGTCTTGGTTGGGGGATGTAGTTCAGCAGCATAGCACCTGCCTGGCAAGCATGAGGTTGTGAATTTGATTCCCAGTACAAAAAAAGGGGGGAAAGAATCTAGAAATATAATTCCATTGTTTTAAGAAAGCTGCAAAGGTAATGTACGACCAGAATTGAGGAATCTTCCACAGTCTAGAACAGTGGTGGTAGATTCATGGCACACAAGCAGCAGCAGACTGTTGTCATTGAAAGCTCTGAAAGGTTCACCATCACTGACCTAGAACACTGATCTGTCCCCGTGGTGATGGCTCTTTCCACAGGACACATCTTCCCAGTACCACTTCTCATGACAGACAGAAGTTGAAAAAGATTGTGATCATCCCCTATTTTTTTCTTTCCTTCCAGAGTCTTTTTCAAACTAATATTCTGCCTTGAACTGGTACAAATTATATATATACAGGTAGCATAGAACACAGGTAGCAAAACATCAAATAAAATTTATTAAATGACAGTCACAATTTCCCACACCCAAAGATATCCAACGTTGACATTTTTTGTACAACCTTTGTGTTCCTTATTAAAAAAAAGATCTAGACAGAAATATAGATTATATATATATATATATATATAAATAATGAACTGTAGCTAAAGACTTTGATGTATTTATAGATGTAGTCATGTTTATAAGTACAGGTCATATATATATATATATATATATATATATATATACACATTGGCAAAGCTATCATATATGTAAGGCTCTTTATCGAGTGAGAGGCATACTTTGATTCACGATCTATCTTGTGCATTCAAATTAAGACATATGTTAATTAATCCCAAGTCCCTTGCTCCTAGATATTAAAATTCTCCTCAGTGGCTCCCAGCAAGTCCAAGTCCAGTTCCACTCTCCTCAGCATGGCCTCTCTTGTAAGCCTGATTGCTCTGTGGGTAACCCAGACCAAGAAATCCTCAGAGTTTCCTACCACAAAGAACTGGCTGCTCCTGTCATTTCTGGGCTGAAAGGAACAAGGCCTGCTAATTTCAAGCCAGTACACTCAGCAGCTATGGTTTCCTCTCACCCTCTCAGGCTCAGGCAGAACATGTTTCCCAAATTCCTTTACAAAACAAGACTGCATGGGATCTTAGCTGTAACAATAAAAATACTGACAAAAGACTACAGATATCACCCACCATTATCTGTATATGGATAACCCTTACCATTATCTATATAGCTAAAGGCTTTGTAACTCCCCCTTGAAATAACTCTGAAGTAGATATTGCTATTATTCCCAGTTTACAGATGAGGAGTTCAAGGCTTAAGGGAATATCTAAAGTTTTATTCAAACCTGAGATGGCCTACCTCCTTAGCTTGAATCATGCTACACTGCTTCTGGCCAGGAGAGTTTCTCACAGTTTTAGTAAACAACTGTGGCACAAGTTCTAGGCACTAAACTCTTCCCAGGTTTGGTTCTTTCTGATGTAGAGCTAGGTCATAGATCTGTGAGAGGGTCGGGAAAAGGTTAGGATCACTGCTAAGGAATCACATGTCCATCACAACAGCTAGTGCCATGGGCTTTCTCAGTCTAGAATCACATCTTCATCCTGTGATGGTTTGGAAATGTGGCTCAATTTGATAATGGTTTAGCTCTATGGTGGCTTGGGTACTCTTTCTCAGGGTGCTAAACATTAGACTTGGAGTGGTCTTGGTGGGGCTTTACCTAAACTAGCTTGTCTTGAGAGCTCTTTCCCTCCAGGAGAGTCTTGGTGACTGCACTGAAACATTCTGGGGTTGATCTATTTATAAATATAATTAATATTGCTGAAGAATGAAGAGCTTCCTGTGTCTACAGATACTTTTCCTTTGTGTGTATCTTCTGAAGCTCTGTTTCTACTAACCCAGTGAGCTCCTTCCCTTGTCCTATCAATGGATTGTTGACAGAATGAAATTGGCCTGGATTGTTCCGTGTTTGAGTAAACATGGACCTTGTGCTCCTAAATCCTGATTTGATAAAGACAGGAAACAAAAAGCATTTAATAAAAAGTAAAGACCTTAGCAATGTATTATCCAAAATAGAATTGTAAATAGGATACTCAAGAACTTAGCATATTTGCGTTTATCATATATGTTCTTATCACTTGTCCCAAAATTGTATAATGAGTCTCTGAAAAGGATTCTAGTTGTGACTGTGAGATTCAATTATGAGGTTAGATGTTGGAACATAAGTCAAAGTTACCCAAACAATGACCTTATTGACAGCTTGTAGGATTCTAGCTGGTGTGTGGAAACCTCATTTCTCTGCACATTGTAATTCTGTGAAAGCTACTTCCATGACCTAGATGGATAAACTTGGATCAAAAGACAGATACCTGTTACCCTGAGACTGGACATGAAGAGATAGGGTAGTAAGGAAGAAAGATTTCATTAAAAAAAAAAAATCTTTTGAGTTTCAAGAATATCTCCTACAATGGCTTTCATTTTTACTATGAAAGGAAACAGAAATGATAGCAAGGGCGTCATGCAGAGAATAGTAAATGTCAGTCCTGTGGACAATGAGAGAGCAATCCGAGATGGACCGCGTTTCTAATAGATTCACAGCACCCCATGGGCAAGGATAGATTCAGAGACTCAAAATGTGTAGGGACAGCCATGAGGAGTCAGGTGACAGACTAAAATAGCAGGTAATCAAGTTGATCCAAATTTAGAGACCAGGGAAGCAGATGTAGCACAAGGGGAACGCCAGTGTTGCATCCTGCAGCCAGCTTGGCTAATGACAGACCCTTAGCAAAGCCCCAGGCTGACTAAGGGGGAAGACCGCTGCTGCTTGGATGAGACTGCATGGTAGGCCCGATAGAAATGAGGGTGGAGGATAGCAGAAAGGATTAGAGGGAGGTCAACAATTGATAAATTAGAGCTGAAGGCTTGGAGGAGGTGGGGCTGTAGCTGGCAAGACCCAGGGTGTCTCTGTCAGTGGGAACAGGTGACCCAAGAGGGACAGGACTTGAAAGTTTAAAGATGCCAGTATTTTGGGGCTGGATTATTGAAAAAAAAAGTGACAGTAAGCTTTGAAAACTCTTGAGATGATACCAGTGTTTTCTTTCTTTCTTTTCTTTTTCTTTCTTTCCTTATTTCTTCTTCTTCTTCTTCTTCTTCTTCTTCTTCTTCTTCTTCTTCTTCTTCTTCATATGGTTTTGTTGTGTATCTTTTTATTATAAACAACTATCAATACTTGTAGAATAAAGAAAAAAATAGGTGCACAGCCAAGAAGGACAAAATATTCATCATTACTGGATATAGGAAATGGCTAGTACTATGAAGATTAGGTTTTCCAAGAGTTTCCCTTTCTTTCTTGGGTTTTAGGAATCTGTATGTTTCTCATCTGCTCTACTTGACTACAGCTTCCATGAAAGGAGCCTGCAGCTGTCAACAGTGGTCCTATTACAGCTGCAAGTTCATTTGCCTACACGCACCACTGTTGAGTACAACTGTCTTTGTTGAATTGATAGTTTGAGACTAGTTCTGAAACACCCTTGAATGCTGAGGTGCTGTTTGTTTAAATGTTCATATCACTGCTCTATGCACATAATGCTTTCTGTTTTAGAAAAAAAACAAATAGAATACTTGGAAAATTTATTAGAATTCTATTGTCTTTCTCTTTTACAAATACCACTGATCACACCAAGGGCTGGAATTTGTGCCCCTCCTTTTTCCACAGAAGCTCTAGTACTTTATAGTAAATAACTCCATAGAAGTACATAGATGTGCAGAGAGAAAACTTCTTTTCACTTCACAAATTGGCAAGTCAAGGCTCAGGGAAGTTTAATTAATATAACAAACACTTGCGCACGCACTCCACTTTCTACAGTTTCTCTTCAGTCCACTTGCATGGGTTCTGGAGACAGGAACAAGATCTCCCTCGGCTTCTAAACATTCCTCCTGCTGGACAGGGCCCCAAACTCAGCTCGTGGCAGTGGATCCCAGGTTACAAAGATGACTCCCCACATTACAGAGAATCTGTTCTGACAAAAAAAAAAAAAAAAATCAAGAGGCATCAGCATCACCAGAACACAGGCCCATCCTAGCACCGTGGCTATTTACCACACAGTCCTAGCCCCAAACCAGGTTTTTCTACTTTGTTACATCAACTCATCAGGTGTTTTTGTTCTTTTTCTTCTTATTATGAGGGCAGGCACTACAATTTTTTTATAAATAAATAAATTACTTCCCAGTTTGGAGGTACTTACCATATTGTAGGATAATGCATTCCGAATGCTGGTGATTTCAAGTCCAGAAATGAGAAACAATGTGGTTTTGATAGCATTCCACTGACTGTTCCTAGCCAATCTCTGAAAACATTTAAGGGCTGGGAATACTTCAACTCAGTGAAGGGACATCGTGACAAAAAGACAAAATTCTTGTAAACACTGAAAGGACACGCTGAGCTGGGCTAGGCTGGGCTGGGCCAGGATATCTTCCCCCTTGTCGAGCTCTATGTTTAGAACCTGCAGAGTGCCAGGGCAAGGGTAAGCCCTGAAGCCATGCAGCAAGATCTATGGTTTGACAATACATATTTTTTGGTGACCATCTGGGGATTAAATTAACATATTCAAAGTTCAAAAGGGAGTAGAAATTCATTACTAGAGTGGGAGAGGTCATTTTTTTCCTGGATCACTCCCAAACACAAAATTGAGAACAGGATTCGTTGCAGTAAAAACCCAAAGGGATTGGTTTTTTCCTGCATTGAAGCCAACAGATGTTTTCATTCTTTTTAGAGCCAACTCTCGGTTAATCAGCACTGGGACATCCAGTTTTTTGAATTTTTTTTTCAAGGCATTAAATCACAAGACCTTCTCTGTAGTTAGTGTTTAAAAGATTATCCTGTGTTTAGACTATCTAATACCTGTTGATCAGGACAAAAGAGAAAGTACAAATAAAGGTTATTTTCCTATTCATCAGCATTTTTATTTCCATTATTGTCACCTCATTTTTCCTCTTTATCATGATGATTCCCAACCATCTCCTTGACGCTAGCATAGAGGTAAGTCCTGAGATCTTTGCAGCCTCTCTACACACACCCTCCCCAAGTGACCTCATAAGATTCCACATCATGTGGTATAACACGGAACACTTAGAAATTTAGGACAGGAAGAGAATTTTAAATGCCATGTAACACTACAGGTGAAAACCTACAGGCATCCTCATTGACAAAGTTTTTTTCCAAATTAAAAAAAAAAATTTTTAATGATAGCATCAGCAATAGCATTTTCCCTTGGTTACAGTACTCTATCAGAACCTCTGGATATCTTGTCATCTGTTCCTCCTATAAGAGAGGGAAAGAAAGAACATGTAGCATGGCAAATCCCTCTAGCATCATTATTTCATTTAACTTTCCAGCAATGAGCTGGAATACCACTCAGCTCATTATACAGATAAAGAAATCATAATTTGGAGAGATTAAGTAACACACTCAAGGTCACAACACTGGTAAGTGCCACCAGCCACTGTTCCAAGTCAGGTTTGTGCTATATCTTTACCTCTTCAGTCAAGAGACAAAATATGACAGCTTTACATACAGTCCACCCTAATTGATTTACAAGTGGATTATTTTGCTTTTAAGTGACTATGGACCTTGAGGGTCATCCAGTTTACAACCTCTTAGACTGACGACACCAGCAGTATCAAGTCAAAAGGAAACTAGGAATCACACAGGAGAGGGCAATGTGTATGGATGTGCATGTGTTTGATTGGCTGAGCTAATGTGAATGTGAGCCAGCAGTGAAGGAGCACTGGGGATTTTAATGGTCTAAAGGACAGGTAATTAGGAGCAGAATATAGAGTATAACTGAGCCCAGATTGCAGCCATTAGGGTAACAACTATGATGGTCTCACAGAGGGTTACAGATGACAGAAAGTCATTAGATGCAGTTAGGTGAACCTCTCATTGTGCCATTGAGGGCAGTGTGACTTCTGATGCCTCCTATAACACCCTCAGAAAGATCAAGAGTTGAATTGATAGGAAGCTGAAGATGACCAATGACATGTGCTCATGCCTATAAATGGGGAAATGCTTAGCCAAGACTGCATCTCCTTGTATTCTTGTTCATTTACTTATTTCTTTCCCTCTTTGCTTGTTGACCAGTCAACTAATACCAATTGTTGGATGCTTTTGATCTATTTATTAGATACTCTGATAAACAAGTTTATTTATATTATCTCAATCAGCACAGCAGCATTATTCTAAGTTTACACTGGGGGAAATTAATTCTTAAATGGATTAGGTAAGGGCTAGGGTGTACTTAAGAGCTAAAGTGCCTGCCTCGTGTATGAGGGTTTAATCCCCAGCACCACACACACACACACACACACACACACACACACACACTATCTTTCATTTCCTGGGTATCAGCCCTGAAGGGAATGTGAAGGGGTTTCCCCATTTCAGCATTCTTTTAAGTTACATGATCATAAATAAGCCAGATTTTAATATTACAAACTAGAGAATAAAAAAATAAATTGCCTTACGTCCAAGAGGTTGAAAAATCAATTCCTGCAACAAAGGGGAAATGAAATCAGAATCTGAAGAGTGCTGATAATAATCATTAAAGCTGCATAGCAGAATCCATGGACGACAATTGAAGGAAGCAATGCTAAAAGAAAAATTCCTATCTTTTTTGTTAAAAGGAAAACTTTAGGCAAAATAATTTGTTTATTTGAGCATTGAAGGATCCATGTATCAAAAGCATTCAAAACCAAGAGAGCTTCAGAGAGCTTTCTTTAGCCGCAGGAGCAACAGGCTTTTGTACACTAGAGACAGGACCCAAAAAATCACTTGACTGGCTGCAGCTTGGTATTTGCTAAGTCAGTGGAAAGTGGGAGTTTGTGGAAAGTTCCCAAGGAAAGGTCAGTTGGTGGCTTCTGAATGGTAAACCTTGAGTTGGGTTGACTGTTTGCATCCAATTGAGTTTTGTTTGCTTTCATAGGAACCCAAGACACTGGAGCCACATCAGCCTATGAGCATCCCAGTGAATTATTTTCACACTGTAAATAAACAAAAAAGCAATGAGTACTTCAAAAATTTAGGATATGAACTACAAAAGAAATCTAAGAGAAAGTAAATAAAAGCATAAGGTAATAAATTCTAAACCAAAAGTATGATAAAATCAATAAATAAATTCAAAAGCAAGAAATCCACTGGGTGATAGACCATTAGTTAAACTTATCAGGAAATATAAAGCCGAGATACTCAAAGGGACCAAAAAATGGGAAATAATCACAGTTACAAAGGGGATACAAAGAATAATAACATATAGACAACTAAAAATTAAGCTCTGAGTGAAATATGTGATTTTCTAGAATTGACTCCAGAAAAAAAAATGAATAAAAATGTAAACTGATTTTCCACAAGGAAATAAGGATACATGTTAAAGACCTGTGCCTAAGAACTTCTTTCCATTCTTCTGAAGTATTTTTTTCTATTCAGATGTCTTTAAATATTACTAAATGTTACTAAATAGGTAACTTTTAAATGTTTTTAAAAGTTACCTATTCTACAAAAATTTAGTAAAATTCAACTATGAAATCTAATCTGATCCTGATATATTTTAGGAAGTAATGTGATAAAAGTGATATTATAAATTAATGTGAGAAAACAGATTATTTGAATAATGATATGGGGACAACTTTGAAAAGTATTTGAATCAATGCCTTGTTATATTAAAAATCTTTAGAAGAGGGATCAAAGATTTAGAAGCAAAAACTTTTAAAAGTGTAAGACCATATTTGTATAATATCAGATATGAAATGATTCCATAATATGAAACAAGACCTAGAAACTATTTATAAAAATTGATAAATTGAAATATATAAAAACTCAAATTTTACCAAAAAATACAATACAAAATGAACAGGAAAAAATTAACCAGGTGAAATATTGGTATTTAAACGTATAACACTTAAGTACCTTCTAAAAATCAATTTTTAAAAATTCAACTATACATTAGAAAAACAAGCAAAGACAATTCGAAAAAAATTGCGAGTGATTCATTCATAAGAGACATGCAAATTTAAGCTATCAGACTCCATTCTTTGCCTATCACACTGTCTTTATAGTACATATGTTGGTGAGTGTGCTAGGAATAAATACTCTGTCATATGTTTTAGGGCAGACTGTCAATGAGTACAGTTTCTTTGGATGACAACACATCAGTACAACAAAACACTGAATATCTCTTAACCTAGCATCTCTACTTCTAGATTATAGACATCAAGAGTGAAATTGACACTAGTGGTTGACTATAATAATAACACACGGGGAAGAACCTCCATATGCGTCTTTAGGGGAGGAGCTAAATAAAACATCCATCTATGGAATACCATGTAAACAGTGAAGCACAACAAGGCTGCTCTGCAGTGAGCTAGTTAGTATATATGTGAAATACAACAGTAAAATGATGAATAAGTCATACTCAAGAGACATAGTTGCAGCTTTTTGGAGGCAACTTTCTCGTGGCTGGAGAGAGAGAACATGCATTCCCAGAGAAGCTTGTGATCCATTCTTTAGGAGCACAATCTCAATGCAGGAAAAAGCTTCAGGGTTCTGAAACTGGTTTCTGAGTATTTCCACTGAAGGTTTTTATTTTAATACGGCACTCACGTTGATGTTAAATGATCTGTTACCTGACTGAGTCTTGTCTGAAACAGACATCTTGCATCCTATTCCTAGGCTTACATGTGCATAGAGTCGCACAGGAAAGATCATTTTTAAAAAAACCTCAGTTGGTTCCAAGGTAAGAAGTGATTAGTAGAGAAAATAAAGGAAGGAAATGAGCTTCTCACCATTTGCATTTCTGTATCACACTGTCATTTATGCACATATTACCTAGGAAACACTTTAATCAATTAGTTTCTAAAAATTGACAGGTAGATTACTTGTCATTAAACCTAACTAAATTAATATGTTTCACATAAATAAAATTCTTAAATTATGCTAGTAATATCCACTAAATTAATAGGTATAGTGCCATGTAAAAATAGGTAGCTGAAGCAATAAAACAGATTGAAAAGAACCTCAGGCTTTCCATGGACTTGCTACATGATCAACATATACCTCAAGTCAACAGTGGGAAATGTATTACTAAGTGATATCTGGGTAGCATGCCATCCATTTGGAGAAACATAAAAATATAGTCACTCATTTGTTTCTAAACCAACCTAATTTAAATGAAAGAAATGAAGGCATAATAGTAAAACTACAACTGAATGATGTTATAATCTTGGCATGGCAAAGAACACAAGTATACAGACAGAGAAGCTATGAAGTTAGAGATAATCACATAAAAGTTAAAACTCAAAATTTCGTTCAAAATGAAAATTTATCTCTAATACTATATATCACTATATTAACAGTAGTTTATATTTTGTATTATACAAATGATTTTACTTTTCCTTATTTTCTTCTTCCATGTTTTTTTCTTGACATCGATAAGCATTCTTAGCAATAAAATCATTGTAAATTATATTTCAAATCAAAGGTGAAGCCAACCAGGGTGACACATGCCTGGAATTCTAGCTATTCAGGAGACTGAAGCAGAAGACTGAAAGTTCTAGGCCAGGTAGAGCAATTTAGGAAGACTCTGTATAAAAA